CGCCGGGAGCCCAGGGGGCCCGCCCAGGGGCTGCTCCTCGCCTCCTGCCAGGACCGAGGAAGAACAACACAGCAAGACTCACCCTGAGAGCCAGGCCGCCCGGCCCCCCTCCCCCGCTTCCCGACTCGCTCTGCACCCTCAGCAGCGCCCAGGGTTTTTCTAATTAACAGCAAGTAAAACCTGAACTGGAATCTTTCAACAATATCAGATTAAAATATTAACTGATAACATCTTTTGAAACCCAATTCCTCTCTTTTTCCTAACATCACGCCGGCTGGGACACAGGGAGAGGGGGTGCTGCTGAAAATGAAGCTCAGACAGGAGTGCCAGCTGGGCACTGGGCGCCGGGCCTGGCCGCAGCCTCCCTCACGTCCTCTCACCGCCCAGGAACCAGTCTCCCCGACCCCCTGGGCGTCAAGTCCATCCCTTCCTTTCTTTCCTCTTGCAAGGACTTCAGCAAAGGAGTGCCCTGACCAGCAGCCACATGCAGTCCCTCAGCCCCTAGAAACTGGAGGCCTCTGGCCCTGGCGGCTCACAGCCAACTTCCCGAAGCCAAGGCCCCGGAGGGCGGCTCACCTGCAGGGCGGCCTCCCCCACGCAGGGGGAGGAGGGCTGCTCTCCACCGCTTCACTTCTTGTTCCAGCTCCGCGACCAGATCCGGATTAGTCAGAGCGGTTCTAGCTGCAGAGTGGGGAGGAAGAGGAGCTGAGGTCCCCGGTGCGGCCCTCGCACCCAAAGGGAACAACAGGCTGCTTTTGTGTCTTTGGTTTAAGAACTAGAATCTGGGAAACACAGATGCAGGGGGAGACACTCAAAAGACCAGCCCCTAAGCACGGGCCCTCGCCCAGCGGCCTGGGAAGCTGGCAGGATGAGGGGACTCTGCACGCCCTGGGAGCTGTCATCACGTCGCTTTGCGCAGGCTCAGTCCTCTCCTCTCTCCCTGAGCTTGTGACCCAGATCTCACACCCGAGAACCAAGGGCCAGTCGACCTGCCCAGGGAAGCCAAATGCCCGGGCCGCGGGACCTGCCTCTTACCCACAGACACCAGGGTTTTGAAGGTCTCGGACATGACGTCCTGGTAGAGGGCCCTCTGACGGGCGTCCAGACACGCCCACTCCTCCGGGGTGAAGCGCACGGCCACGTCCTCCAAGGTGACTGGCTTCTGGAAGAGAGGGGCTCAGGGAGTCTGGACCCAGAGCAGACCCCGGCCTCGTCCAGAAAGCAAAGGGAAAACTAAAACCACAGAAGCAGGGGAAACAGAAAACTCAGGCACAGAGCCAGCAACAGGTACGTACAGACAAGAAAGGAAGGTTGGAGAGGAGGAAGGGAAATATAGGAGCAAATGGAGGGTTTACACAGAAAAGAACCAGAGGGAAGCAAGCAGAAAGGCTGCGGCTCTGCCCGCCCCGGAAGCACTCGTGAGGGCTCGGTGCTGCCGGGGGCCCTCGGCCCCTCCTGGGTGCGGCTCAGCTTGAAGCAGCCTGAGGTCCCATCTGACCTGCAGACGGGAATGGGCGAAAGCTGCCGGGCCCAGGACGCCCGCCCCAGCTGGTCTCCTCACCTCCGCCCAGGCCTGCCACCAGCATTCCCTCTTCACTGCTGTCCGCGGGGCCTCCTGGTCGGGCTTGGGCTCGGGCTCGGGCTCGGGGCTGGGGCCGGTGCCGGTGCTGGGGAACAGCTTCTGCACTTCCATGGTACCTCTTCCTAGCTTTTTCCACTCCCGGACTTGCCCCCGGGACTACCTACCGCCCTGAGGTAGCAGAGCCCGAGGGAGCGGCCTGGAAGGCCCTGGTCGGCTTGGCTTCCTGTGACAGACCATCTGCTCAGGGGCTGCCTTCCTTCGGATCCCACAGCCTTGGCTTCAGAGCTCAGGGACCTGGCCCCCTGGGGGTGGCTGCCACTTTCCAGGAATGCCAGGCTGGGGCTGGGAAGGCGCCTGCCTGTTTCCCCTGCGTCTAACCACTGGCTCGTGCCCACCTCTGGGAGCCTGAGGTCAGAGAGAAACAAACACATCAGCAAGAGGGGAGTGAGAAGCAACAGAGAGAAACAAACATATGAGCGAGGGGGGGCGGGGGGAGTGAGTAGCAACAGCTTCCTTATTAGACCACAGGTTACCCACTCCTGCTCTGCGCCAGGGACCTGCAGCGCGGTCCTGCAGGTGACGCTAACTCACAATTTTAACCCAAAGGCAGAGGTGCTAGTCACTCAAGGACACTCCAGGTCCAAGCCGAGACTGTGGCTCCGACGGTGGGATGCCCGGTCCCAGAGCTCTCAGAGCAGCACAGCCTGCCGAGGGAGCCAGAATGGCCGCACCAGCACCCGCACCATTCTCCTGATTCTGACCCCGTTTCATTGGAAAATGGGATTAAAGGAGACACTCTCTAAGATCCCATCTAGGAGAAAAAGATGGTTCTTTGGGTTTTTAACATATACAGATCTTTGTAAAGAATACAGTGAGCTGGCCAGGTGGCCGAGCATCATCCTGTGCACTGAAGGGTCACTGGTTCCATTCCGGCTCAGGGACATACTGGGTTTCAGGCTGGATCCCTGGTCGGGGCATGCATGGAAGACAACCGATTGATGTTCCTCTCTCACATCAATGTTTCTCCCTCTCCCTTTTCTCTCTCTCTTTCTCTCTCTCTGGGCATGTCTTCTGGTGAGGATTTTTAAAAAACGAAGCCCTGCTGGTTTGGTTCAGTGGATAGAGCGTCGGCCTGCACACTGAAGGGTCCGGAGTTCGATTCCTGTCAAGGGAACATGCCTGGGTTGCAGGCTTGATCCCCAGTAGGGGGCATGCAGGAGGCAGCTGATCAATGATTCTCATCATTGATGTTTCTCTCTCCCTCTCCCTGCCTCTCTGAGATATATATAGAATAGTGATAGCAACCCAAGCGGGTATCCGGGCTCCCACTGAGGCAGACCTGGCTGCACTCCCAGGCCTGCTGACAGCAGCACACCCTGTCTCCCCTTGAGATGTGATGAAAAGAATAAAGGCATAAAAACCTGTTACTTCTTTCACTTTTTTGAACAAGTGATGGAAGTGAAAACGCCAGCAAGAAAAGGAG